CTATTGTTGAACACATCTTAAATGCAGCGTGTCATAAGTTAACTTCAAGCATACAGAGCTCTCTCAAAGTGTCCTAAACATACCTATCGTTTCAACACATTGACAAATCATTACTCTCCCACCAATATCCATGGGGCGAGGAGGGGAGAAAGAAAAGAACAATTCGAAATAATTGAAACCAGGAAAATATTTAAGCAAGAGAAGCTGACCAAGGAAACACTTCTGTTTTCTTTGAGACTTCAGTTTTTAATATTAAATCCAAATAATGGTGTTTTTTAAACTATGCATTCATTAAAAAAGCCACATTCTCCCTTCTGAAGATGAACATTTAAATGGTAACTGAACTTTTGAACTGGACCAACAGGACCAACTATCATATGACAATATCATACTATAGTTGGTCCCACCTAGCACCTGAGTTACCACAAGAGTTAATTGGACAAATTAAAATATGTATAGGATTAAATATAATTTGACCTTCAATGGTTCTACTCTTTCATTCATTTTTTGTTCTAAACAGCATAAAAGAACTATATATTTAATAATTAGCAAAAAATAAAAAATGCTGCATCATCCTGTAGTCTGCTGCCAAGGGTTTGTCTACCCTGACTGAGTAGCCTATACTGACTGAAATGTTGCTTCTTTATTGCAAGGTAGAATAGGCTAAAGTGGTTTGGTTCTTTCCTAAGGAAAGTCGGGGAGCATGCCAGAATTTGATCAATACTCAGGAGCAACCCCATAGATAAGGCACACAACGGGTCCAATTCAGACTGGTCCGCTATCCATATGGGCTGCCCTCATTTTCTCCTCTACTTTTCAGCACAGGAAAAAGGGGATGGAGCCAATGTCGCAATGAAGATTTGTGTGCGGTCACAAACAGTCGCGGAAGCTTTCCTCCTCCGACCAAGTAGCAAACTCACACCTTTGTCTTTGAAGCAGATTATATATATATATATATATATATATATATCACACACACACACAAATACACATATATACATACATGCACACACACACACACAGTCTATTTAAACTGGCTGAAGACTGGAATACTTCTCCTGATACTTCCAGATAACTGGAGACTTCTTACTTGCAGCAGGATGGTTTTGTATTCAAATTCTTTTTGATGCTTCAACCTTCAGTCTCCTCAAGCCACAAGCCAGAAGTCCAACCACAGCAAACTGTAACTCCTCAACAACCTTCCAACACCTCAACAATGAGTAACCCATTTGCTCTTTATTACCCCAGCAGTTACTTCACCCTAGCTGTATAATTACACAATGTTAGCCAGGTGGTTTGGCTCTTACTGATTGATTCCCTGATCCTTACACTATTTGTTACTTAAGAAACAGGAACCCCCGGTAGCACAGTAGGTTAAACCCTTGCGCTGACAACACTGAAGACCAACAGGCCGGAGGTTCGAATCTGGGGAGAGCACGAATGAGCTCCCTTTGTCAGCTCCAGCTCCCCATGCGGGGACATGAGAGAAGACTCCCACAAGGATGATAAAAAATCAAAACATCTGGGTGTTCCTTGAGCAACGTCCCTGCAGATGACCAATTCTCTCACATCAGAATTGACTTGCAATTTCTCAACTCACTCCTGACATGAAAAAAAAAAACCCTTAAGAAATGATAAAAACTCTACCAGCCAGAATAGATTGGGTCTGTATAACAGCTGATAATACAAATGTCCATGGTGTTCTAGGCTACTGTAGGTGCCCTTTAGTGACATCAGCAGAGATGCCTGCATAACCAGAGAGAATAATAATAATAATCATCTTTATTTATACCCCGCCACCATCTCCACAAAGGGGACTTGAAGCGGCTTACATGAGGCCAAGCCCGACGGTACATTACAGAAAAATAAAATACAAATCAACAAGAAATAACATCACAATGGAATAAATAAAATATTCAAGTAAAATAAACAGTGCAAAATAACATAACAAAATAATCAAACACAGTGGGCGGGCCAAATGCGTAACATAAAATGATAAAACTCTGGTGAGATAGCAGTGAGATATATTTATAAGGAGGAGCTCGTAGGGGGTGGAACAGTCGGGCTAGGCCTTCAATAAGGTGGGGGGGCGTGCAAAATGAGGACAACACTGTAGGTGAAACATCAGGAATGAAATATATGGTCCCTCTCCAAAAGCACATCAGAAAAGCGAAGTCTTTAGATCTTTCTTAAAAGCTGCTAGGGTGAGGGCTTCCCTAATCTCACCAGGTAGTGAATTCAACAGCCAGGGGGCCACAGTGGAGAAAGCTCTCTCCCTCGTTCCCACAAGCCATACCTGTGATGGAGGAAGGGGCGAAAGGAGGGCCTCATGAAGGTAGGCAGGTCCCAAACCATTTAGGACTTTATAGGTGATAACTAGCACCTTGTTTACTCCACAACTCTACCACTACTTAACAAATTAGAAATTATTTCAGAAACTGCTCCAAGCCCCCTACCACCTTGATCTAGCCTTGCCAGCCACCTTACATTTTCTGGGAACAATGTGCCACTGCTGCAGCAACTGCAGCCTTCCGCCCCTTCTATATATATAAATTTGTTAGGGGCATCCAACGAGGAAACAAAACTCAAAACCCCCAACGAAACTTAACCAAAATTCCCATGCCCATAACACAACCCACAAGGTACAAACATATCTACTCAAAATGAAAAACAACACAACAACACACTCACAAAACGGCAAAACAACAAAACTCAAAAATCCCCCAACGAAACTTAACCAAAATTCCCATGCCCATAACACAACCCACAAGGTAGAAACATATCTACTCAAAATGAAAAACAACACAACAACACACTCACAAAACGGCAAAACAACAAAACTCAAAAATCCCCCAACGAAACTTAACCAAAATTCCCATGCCCATAACACAACCCACAAGGTACAAACATATCTACTCAAAATGAAAAACAACACAACAACACACTCACAAAACGGCAAAAGGATAAAACTCTAAAAAAAACCAACGAAACTTAACCAAAATTCCCATGCTCATAACACAACCCACAAGGTACAAACATATTACTCAAAATGAAAAACAACACAACAACACACTCAAAACGGCAAAAAAACAAAACTCAAAAAAACCCCAACGAAACTTAACCAAAATTCCCATGCCCATAACACAACCCACAAGGTACAAACGTATCTACTCTAAATGAAAAACAACACAACAACACACTCACAAAACGGCAAAACAACTGAGCATGCGCATTGGCGCCCAGCCGCAAGTTCCCTGGCGCGCGCACATGCCCTTCCGGCCAACGTTCCCTCTGCGGAAACCATGCCCACTCCAAGCCCCGCCGCGCCGCTTCCCGCACACACACACACCCCTGCCGCACACACACACACAACCCCACACTCCATCACTCCCCCCGCCGCCGCACACACACACGCAACCCCACTCCCCCTGCCGCCGCACACACACACGCAACCCCACACTCCATCACTTCCCCCGCTGCCGCACACACACACGCAACCCCACTCCCCCCGCCGCCGCACACACACACGCAACCCCACGCTCCATCACTCCCCCCGCCGCTGCACGCACACACGCAACCCCACTCCCCCCGCCGCCGCACACACACACAACCCCACGCTCCATCACTCCCCCCCCGCCGCACACACACACGCAACCCCACGCTCCATCACTCCCCCCACCGCTGCACACACACACACAACCCCACGCTCCATCACTCCCCCACCCCAATCTTACCTCCTTTTACTTCACGCCACCTCCAAACCCCACCCCGCCCCTTCCCGCCCTGTCAAAATCCAGGAAAGACAGGAAGGAAGGAAAGAAGGAAGAAAGAGAAAGGGAGGTAAAGAAAAAGGGGGAAGGAAGGAAAGTTAGAGAAAGAAGGAAGAAGAAAAGGAAAGAAAAGGAAGGATGGAAGGAAAGAAAAGAGAGACAGCAGAAGAGAAAGAAAAAGGGGGAAGGAAGGAAAGAGATAGAGAAAGAAGAGGAGAAGGAAAGATGGGAGGGAAGAAGAAAGAAGGAGGGAAAGAAGGAGAGAAAGAGGGAAGATTGGCCACAGCAACACGTGGCGGGTAAAGGTTGTTATTTCTATTATTATTATTATTATTATTATTATTATTATTATTATTATTATTATTATTATGCTATTGTTCCTATGAGACCCTGGAGGAATGGGAGAGGTGTCAGGTCCCAGAGGCAATGCATTGCATTATTGTTATTGTTATGATGGTGGTAAAATAAAAGGAAATAAAAAGTGAAAGAAGGAAGCAAACAGGGAGGGAAGAAAGGCAAAGGAAGAAAGGGGGAGGGAATGAAGGAAAGAGAGAAGGATGAAACCAAGTAGTGAAAGAAAGAAAGAGGTAGAGAAGGAAGAAAGGAGAGAAATGGGGAGGAAAAGGGGGAAGGAATAGGTAGGTACCTCTCTTTCATAATAGTCCAGATATCTACCTCAACTTTGATAAGTTTTACTATAGGCCACAGCAACGCGTGGCAGGGCACAGCTAGTTATCTATATTTCCATGAAGTAACACAAGAAGAGGGAATTTTCAAAGGCAGGCTTGATGCACAGTTTACTTTTTCACAAGATAAAAAAAAACATTATCCATTTTAAATGACACAATCACCAAGTTTCACCTCCATTAAACATGGATGCAGCATCGTAAAAAGAATTAGGTTGCAGGGATTTGGTCATTTAAACAACGTAGCAGGTGCTCCTCAGACAGAACCTGCTACGTTGTTATTTCAACTTCTTCAGGTTCAAAAAGTAAAGTGTGAATCAGCTCTGGGATTCATGAGCAACCAAGTTATGACATTTACTTTACCTTTAAATCCAACACAGTCATCAGATTTTCATCAACCCACAATAAATATAGACGAAAGCACTGGAAGGGCATTATATAAATTCACCAGCTCCCCAATCATCTTGAACAAACTAAATTTATTGCTATGAAAATAGACAGTCAATAATGAATGGGATGATGGAAGAGAAAGAAGTAACTATACCTGTAGTTCTGGTGCAAGTTTCATAATTTCAAGGGCTATATAACAGCCAACCGAATGCCCAATAAGCACAAGTTTCGTATCTCTGGGCACATTATTTCGGAGGAAGTTCAGCTTGTGTTCAATTTGCCCACGAAGTCCAAAGACATCGTCCACTTTGCCAACATCTGTCTCTGTAAAACAATCCCCAAACATACTTTATTTCATTTCTTTAAAGCGGTTTCATTTCATTTGCTGTAGATTCTTAGCACACCGCTTAAACAATCCTATCAAAAATTATTCTGAGGTCACATTAGTGATATAGACACTTTTACAATGATTAAGAAATAAAACATTGAGTTCCAATGAGAAAGAATAATGCCATATGTATTAATATGCAATTTCTTGCAGCGGGGCTTCTTATTGGAGTGTGTTTTATTTATATATTTATTTATTAAGTTTGTATGCTTTTACATAATTATATACTGTTTTAATGTGGTATTTCTAATTGTTGTCAACATTGTATGGTGAGGTTATGATTTATTCCTTTTATAAGCTGCTTTGGGTACCACTCCAGAAGAAAGGTGGCATATAAATACAGTATATTCTGGCATATAAGATTACTTTTTAACCCAAGAAAATCTTCTCAAAAGTCAGAGGTCGTCTTATATGCGGGTGTTGTTTTATATGTGGGAGTAGTCTATACACGGGAGTCGTCTTAAACGCTGGAGTAGCCTTATGCATGGAAGTCATCTTATATGCGAGAGTTGTCTTATACGCCAGGAGTTGTCTTATAGAGCGGGTGCTGAAACTTCCAATCCGGATTGGAGAATCTGTGGTTGCTGCATATGGTGGGGGGAGCTCAAAAATGGCAGTGGCCGCGTCCCTGCCGTATGCAGCAACTGTACTGTACCGTACTGTACAAGTACGGTAGAAGAAAATCCATTAATCCATTAATCCGGATTTGTGGACTTAATGCGGTCCCAATGGTGAGGTGAAGGGGCACCACACCGGGAAGGTGTAAGTGAAGGCGGAGCAAGCTGCAGGCGTCCGGGGCACCCGGGGTATGGAAAAAAAAGATAGAGTGGCTCTGGGCCCAGAAAAACACAACTCTTTTACCTGTTTGGCCTGCCTTTGTATCCTATTACCGTACCTCCTCATCTGCCTCTCAGATCTCGCTCCTCAAGACTGCAGTGAAGTGGTGCAGGTGCGCATGTGCGAGATCTGAGAGGCAGAGAAGGAGGTACAGTAATAGGAAAATTACTATATTGAAATCAAATCTGATGCTTTAAAAAAATTATTTGGTGTGCATTGGAAGAGGGGTAGTCTTATACGGCAAGTATATCCCAAACTCTATATTTTAACTGGGAAAGTTGGGGGTCGTCTTATATGCCCAGTTGTCTTATATGTTGGAATATACGGTAAATACTGAGTGGATGTAAGACCTAGATCCACAAATCTCATAGAGTAACTATGCGCTATCGATCACTTCACCTAATATATCTTAAGGAGTTTTTTCCAGTCCAGAAAGGAAGGATAAGACACGTTGCCTGAGCTTCATGAAGAACACGCTGCAATGAGTTGCACATTTCTGCCTGTGGTCATGTATTTGGAAAGTTTAACAAAGGAAGGGCAACGGCTACATGTACAGTTTCACAGTCCCCAGATAAGTGCTCTCAACAGTATATAAAATGCAACTGTTTGGTATAAAAACAGTAATTGCTTCAAGAAAATTGTATCTTCTACTATTTTATTTCCAGCATTTTCTCCCAACTTGAAACACATTGAACCGGGGGTTACTGCAGAAAGAGCTCTGAGTAAGCTAATTAATACTGCCAGTAAAGCTGATCTTAGTCACATCCTGGCATGATTTTGGCTTTATTACATGAGAATTGGCAGGGTGGGGAAGGAAAGTAAAGAAATGCATTCATCCCCTTCTCCTATGAATTAGATGAGAAACAACATTTTGCCTACAAGCCTTAAAAAACAACAACAGGTAATGGAAAATGAGGAAGTTCTGCAACAAAAGCCTAAGGCCAAAACATTGTTTTCAAACGAACGTCTATTTTTAATCCATGTTGTTCATTTTAAAAATGTATCCCATAGCCCAGACTCATGCCTGAGTTAGCCAATTCATCCCATTCAAAATATGGCTATTGACGTAAATTGCACAAAGTAGGATATTGGCTTGTATTTCAAGAGTAACACAGTTATAAAAAACAATTTCCATCCACATATTTCATTGATTTTTTTTTTCGTGTCAGGAGCAACTTGAGAAATTGTAAGTTGCTTGGGGTGTGAGAGAATTGGCCGTCCGCAAGGACGTTGCCCAGGGGATGCCAGGATGTCCGTAGGTGGCTGTGGAACCCTATTCTTGATCTGCATGTTCTCCCGCAGTGAGGACATTGGTTTCCAGTGTTGGTTTGACATGCCTTCCTCTTGACACGTTTCTCCCTTTCACCCTTCATTTGTGCCTCTTCGAATTCTGCAGCACTGCTGGTCACAGCTGACCTCCAGCTAGAGAGTTCAAAGGCCAGGGCTTCCAGTTCTCAGTGGAACTGGAACAGTTTTTGAAGTTGGCTTTAAGCCCATCTTTAAATCTCTTTTCCTGTCAACCAACATTTTGTTTTCAATTCTTGAGTTCGGAAATTTCAAATTGTATGAAGGAAATAAATCTGTTTGACCCAGTCCACTAGTTTTAATATGTGTTAATTGTGCTTCCTTTCTCTCCCATATCTGCTTAGAACAGTGTTTTGTAACCTGTGGGCCGCAGACCTCCAGTGGGTTGTGAAGACGAAAATCTGGTCCGTGAGCCTCCTTCCTCTTTATTTATTTGTTTTATCTTATTTCTGCTCCTTTGGTCCAGCCTGCCACTCCTTTCCTGTCGCTGACCACGGTATATGTTCTACATCAGAAACTAGAGATGATGTAGTCTATCCAATGCAATTTTCTGAATCAGCACCCCAAAACAAATCTAACAATGACCAAAAACTGATTTGTAACACTTGGTACTAATGTTGGAGTGTGGTCCCTGGTCAAAGTGGTCCCTGGTCAAAAAAAGGTTGGGAACCACTGGCTTAGAAAGCAGACAAGAGCAGGAAGTATATTACACTAAGTACGATGCCCAGCAATATGGTCCCAGTGAGATTTTAAAAAGTGCCACCAACTGATAATAAAGTCATATCTTTATTTTTTAATGCAGCTAAAATGTCAAGATTTTGCCATTTCTCCATCTTGATCATTCCACTTGACAAACAGCAATTTTCACTTGGTATCTCATTACAATGGTACCTTGCCAGAGGAGTTATTTGAACCAGCTGAGTGAAAAAATTAAGCAAATAAATTTGCTTCAGCTCCTGAATGTGACTTCGGAATTTACGGTTCAGTAGGAATTTGGTTTATTTATTATCCTTGCAACTCCTTGAGGAATTATCCTTTCTTCCTTCTGCCTCTCTTTCATAGCTGAACTAATATAAGTGTCCCCCTGGTTTAGGAAAGAAATTTGTATTTCAGGTATCCAAAGTTATATTCTGTCATTAACCTAATGTATTATTTCTGGACTTGTGGTTCCCTCTACACCCGTCACCTTTACACAAAACGTGTGGTCATTCTCAGCTTGAGACTAAGAAACCTTTTTGTTAGAATAAGAAATGTAACAAGAGCAATTCAAGGCATAAAGTTGACTTCTAAAGGAAAAGAAAAATGCATAGATGTAAAGATTAAGCTAACAACTGTTTCTGTTTTCTCTGAGACAACATCTAACAGAGCTTTCACAAAGGTAACAACATCTAAGGAACATGCTCCCAGTATCCAAAAATGATTGTGATCACTCTTGCAATACCCAACTGGTAACTTGTTTATTTTACTGAATATAGAAATGGCATCGCATCCCATTGTCCACTGATATTATCATTGGTCAAAGGTAAAATGAGTGTACCTAACAATAAACTCCCACATTGGGAATATGAATAGAGTGATCAATTATCACTGTTCTACAATTTTTCAGTTTTTCTCAGTTACGGAAACGAAATGTGCCATTTCTTAATACATTTAACATGCTGTATTCAAATATAATAAGTAAATGTGTTAATTGGCTCTGGTTTTTATGCAACAGCTATTTCAATTTTCTCCACAATAGATAATTTGTTAATATTATGATAATGCGCCTAACCTTACTGCATGTATATAAACCGTGAACATTTACTAAATTTTAGTCAAATTATATTGCCAGTAGTTTATACATGAGAAATATTTATTTAATTAGTCTATTGTTTATGTTTGTGCAGCAAGAAACTATAGTAGTAGGCCTAATGCAGTTGAAAAGTCTGAAAGTTTAAATGTCGCTTTAATCGTGACTTTAGTTTTTATCCTGTTTGCTTCTCTTGACTTTTCTTTTGTATTCAAGGAAAGGATTGTCTCTTACAATGCTCCAGCAGTAGTCTGACAGCATTGACGGAGTCCATTTGCCTTGATATCTTTTTTCCATAGTGCTTTATTTACACACGTGCGAGGCATAACTACAGTAAAAAGAACAATGTAAAACGATGTTTAACGATACTGTCTCAGTCTTCAACTGACTGACCCTCACCGTTCAAAAGTCTGGCCTTAATACTGCATCATCAAACTTTCTAGAGTATTCTAGAATCTTCCATAGTGTAAGTCGCAACATGCATATTTTCAACCATACGTGATCATGTGATTGCTTATATCATAAAAACTAGAGCCAATATACATTTTTAAATGTCATTTTCGTTTTCAGCACCCCAAAATAATAAAAGAACAGCTATTTTCAGGCCTGCAACTTTCTAGAATCTTCCATAGTGTAAGTCGCAACATGCATTTTTTCAACCATACGTGATCACGTGATTGCTTATATCATAAAAACTAGAGCCAATATACATTTTTAAATGTCATTTTCGTTTTCAGCACCCCAAAATCATAAAAGAACAACCATTTTCAGGCCTGAAACTTTTTCTCCGTTGAACAGTGTTATCATTATACTATCATACTTCAAAAAACTTATCAAACTCTCTCTCTAACCAGCCATTTCAGAGCTTTATGTTACAGTATTCAAAGTACATGGCATTCTTGAGGGAACTGGATAGTGAAAAATAGACACTGAAATGCCACCAACAATTCTCATCCCAGTGAAGTGTGGCATATTTCCAGAAACCAGAACACCAAAGACATATTCTC